AATTTAGGGCAATATAAATAGTTTACATACGTATCATATTGATTTAAAACACATCATGTTACAGCATTGCTAAAAAGAAATTAACAATACAACCGAACATGTTAAATGGTTGCATGGCTGCTAACATATATAAAACAACAAATATAATGGTTGGATTTTTTTTTTTTTATGAAGTTTAAATTGCAGTAAAACTGTATCTAGAATGAACCAATCCCATTGTTTGTTACTAAAAAATCTTAAGTTGATTATTTTTAATTATTGGTCATTTAGTAAAGCAGCAGACTTATTTTAACAGCTGATTGGTCAAGAGGATTTGTAGTCAAGTCATCATTTTCAGAAAATTAACACTTACTAAATGGCTTCAATAAATCAAGGAAGTCAAGCAATTTCTAACCAAAACTTCAGTTTAAGAGAACTACAGACTTACTATATATTACTGAAATCCCTTGATTTCTTTCTTCTCACATTGAAAACACTTAACCAAATTGCATGAAAAACTAAGTAGAAACTTATTAAATAGTATCTAATTTTGGCTTTAAATTCACATAATTTTATTTAGTGCACCTATTATTATGCTTTACACTGTGAAATTTCCAATTTTGTTGAGAGGCACTGGTTTGAAAAAAACATTAAGAAAACTTCCTTTAGCCATAGAATTTCAATTTTATTTAACATTGAACAGAAAGTTCTATTTTATATACACAATCAGTTTCGACTTGACCAATATTTATTAACATATTTCTTTTGATACTTTATTTTGCCAATTCCAGTAGTTATTACTTACAGCTGTAAATTGTAAAAATAAAAACACTTTGAAAACTGACAAAGATTTATCTGTGATCTACAATCTAACCTGTCACAGAGGCATCAGATCAGGCTAGCTAACAATATTTTTGCTAATATTATTTTTCATCGATATGATAAGGCATTAGGTAAGCCTAGTTAGGTTTAGAGAGTTTAGTAGGTGATACCAAAATATTCCTATGACTTGCATTCTTATTTACTGAATATTGTAAAGTTTATTGTACTCAAACAACATAGATAAGTAAAAGAACTTATTTATTCAAAAGAAACTATATTCATTAGATTTAAATTGGTGGAAAATTTCTGTAATTTAAAAAAAAATAACATAAAAGAATTTCCAAGAATTAAAGGAACTTTAAAGAAACTATAGAAAGATTTCTAGATCTATGGTTTGTTCCCGAGTCTTCTAAACTTTCCACTAAATTCTGTTGTCCTTCTCTAAAGAAGCTACATCCCACCACTTCCCACAAAACTATAAATTACTTATCACACTACTTCATTCATTCTACATTGACTTAAATAGATTGTAATGTCCTCTATCTAACAGAAATAAACTTTGCCCATAGCTGTTTTCAAAGCTGTGCTTCATTTGTAGTTGTCACATCAAATGCTACGAGATTATAAAAGAGTGTGAATGGAAGATTGTAATAATAAAGGATGAGACAAAAAATTCTAAAAAGATAAATACAGAGCTGTGCAAGAATGCAAGTTTGAACAAGTTTTAATTTTTCTTTTCAAATTATTCTAAATAATAGTCATAAAATGACAAAATATCAATTATAAAATATTTTTGGGGTAAAAAATTGTTGACATAAGAGTTAGAAGTAGTACTTTTTACTTAAACTGGACATGCAGGTGTACACTCGACAGCTCAAAGGTTCTCACAAGTCCTAATAAGGTTAAAATCACATCCAAAAATGAAGAGGCGATTAAAGTGACGGTAAAAGTTATTTAGGGGGGGTGGAGGAGTCAATGGACCATAACATGACTGTCTAATTCTTTTTGTATGGAAGCCAAATGTTAATAAAATGTTTTAAAATTGCAATAAAATTATCTATGAAGGACAATTCATTAGCCATAACTAATTTTCTGCTGCCCTAAAAATACCTAAGTTTCAAGTTTTAATCCAGGCAGATAAAACTTCATAATAAGATGCAAGGCTTCTTTGCATATTTTATTTGTATTTTTTTCATTCCTAGCTCTTACAACTCATACACATTTTCTAAAGCAACACAATTCAGCTAATTTCACACAATAATTAGCAGTTGAAAACCCTTACAAACTTGAATGAAAGACAGTTTAAGAGCCCTGAATTTAAGCTTTCTTGCAAGAAAGACAATCAAGGACATAAAGTGGTTTGGTTTCCATCTTGTTAAGCACCACTTACACTTTAAGGATTTAATTGTACAAAATGACCAACTGGAATGGTTTTCTCAAACCTCTAAACTGACACAGATTATACTCTAATATTTAAACTACTTTGTACTTCTGTGAAAAAACTCGTACAGTTGACATTAAGAAGCTTTCTCTAAGGTAGCAGTTACAACATCAGTGTGGAAATATAGTAGGACACAAGAGTTGTGAAACTGAAACAATTTTATGCATCAGTCACAAAGATGTAATTTTGATGTGGGATTTTTTTAAATAATAATAAATTTGTCTATATACAAAAACAGGCTGCAGTTTTTTGCTTCTGATTATATATTTACTGCACAATTTCACTGAAATGGAATAAATGAAACCCACAACCTTTCATTGTCTTGTAAAGGTCTAGAAAGTGAGCGAGAATTTCCCTTTTCTTAAACATCTGTTTTTTATAAAATGCATAAAAATTGAGAAAAACCAAACAATCATCATATTATCCTACTAAAACCGTGCTTAGGGTACACTGTAAAAAAGAAAATATTGTATAAATGTGATATGCAACAATGTAGGTATATAGTGTAGGCCCGCTGATGGTGGTAGGTGAATGAAACTTGGTTATGTCATAAAGCCCACAAAGCAACTTTAGGCTATATCTTCATTTAATTATAAAAAGCATAGTTTTGGCTTTTCTTCACATATAAATACTTGATGCATTAAGAACGACTGAAATAATAATTTGAGTAATAATTACTATATATATTTGTTACTTTAGAGATTTAATAGATATTTATTGTTACTTTGTTAAAGTTTTTACGCTCATACTGTGAGGTAAAAATGGTTGCTGCTATAATTTTTGTCTGGTTTATGAGCTCATTGCTGTCCTAATTTAGGACCTTCTTTTTAATAAATTCTTGAAAATGTTAAAAAAGAGAAAGGGGGCCCGGCGAGGATGTTTGCCCAGAGCCTGTGCTGGCTCTCGACGTTCTTGACATGGTGACGAGAATTCTGAGGAGGTGACGGGAATAAATCTAAATTTAAAAACAGTGCTACTACTACTGTCCGTACATTCCTGGCACGTGTAGATAGCTGGCAAAAACAATTCAACAAGTATATCTTAATTCTTATATTTTATAATTAAAAAATTCATTTTCTTACCTTAAAACACAGAAGATGGGTACGAAATTTATCCTCATCCTGAAAGAAAAATTGGGAATGAAAACAATGTTCTACTAAAAATAATTACTTACATTTTTAAATATAAATGCAGAGTTGTAAGTCTTTCTGCCTGACTGATGTCACAAGTTGTTCTGATGCAACAACTGTAGAAAGTGTACAAGTTTGAAAGACATTTCAATTTTACATTTTTTAACTTTATATACAGGGCTCGACTAAGCAAGGAGGTTGTGAAGAGGTATGTGAATCAGGTGACAAACAAAAGTGGTGTTTAATGACATGCTCAACACTGGTATCTTTGCACTGAAATGAAAAATTTGTGTACTACAAGTCAAAACAATGGGAAGGGGTGGCCCATGACCCCATTTATACAGTATCATGAATTTTTAAGTCTGGCATTGTCACCTTGCAAAAGTACCTTCAAAAAAACAGCAGAATGTGTCATTAATGTAACAATTATACAGGCTTTTTCCCGCTTGTTTCTTCATGACACAAAACTAGAATATTTAAGTTTTACATAAGCCACACATTGTTGGATATACAAGACTGTTTAGTTTAAGTTCTTGTATTTGTCTTGTCAATTGGATTCTAAAGTAATTGAATCAGTCTGTGTGGACTTTTGAGAAGAAAGGAGAATTATTTATTCGAACTGGTGTATTTAAGTGTTTTACATTCACAAAAAAAGGAACCTATCATTCTATAGGTATTTGAAGAACTTGTAGCATTTCGCCACACCAGTTTGATTTTCCAAGATCTACCATACCAATATGTTGAAGAGGTACCTCAAGAGGGAAAAAGACCTAACGGAAGCAGCTGTTGTAGGTGTGGCTGTCATAGATCCAGAACTAGAAGACAGTGAATCTGTTATAGAAAATGAAGAACTGCTTGACCCAAGAGCACTGGGTGGAGATGAGACGTACAAAGCCGTCAACATAAGTGACGAACCGACTGCCAAAAAGAAGAAAGAGGTACAAGATCTACTGTGCCAGTATACAGATAGATTAGGAAAGACAGACCTCAAGCAACACAAGATCAAGATGAAGACAAGAGATCCTATCATGCCCTTCCAGAGGCTCTATGCAAAGAGCAACCGACAAAGGAACTGAAAATGTTGGTTCAGACTATAGGGGAAAACTTAGTGTATGAACTGAAAAAAGTATTTGTATATAATGAAAATAAATTTTAAATATTTTTCTTGAAGAAGGGCTTATTGTTGAATATACAAGAGTGTTTAGTTTAAGAGTTATTTGGTGATTTAATATTTGATGATTGTTTGGTTTTCATAACAAGTGTCAAAAGTTAATTGTTTTAGGAGTGAAAGTTGTGACAGGTTGTGTTATGTAACTTGGTAAGAGTCGTAACATTGTGTGTGTAGTTCAGTTGTTGTAAATTGAATCACATTACTTGACCCTACTGTATTTTTCTTGTTGCTTTAAGTGGGTATTGTTACATCATAGTGTCTCGTAGTTTGTAGAAAGTTTTAGGCTTCAGTTGAGTAATATATATATATAGACGACCGAGTGAGTGACAAAAAAAAAGTGAAGTCAGAAAAACTTAAGTTAGTGAAAGTGAAGTTATACTGAGTGATTGTTAGTTTAGCCATAACAGGGTATATTTTAAAGCAAGTTTTATAGTTTAACAGATATGAAAAAAATAATTTGTCTTGTCAAAGGGTGTTCTAGAGAATTTGAACCTGTGTGGACTTTGATAAAAAGGAAACATGTATAGTTTTAGATACAACTGTAATACCCTATAGTGTAAAGAATTTCTGTACATATGTTTGACTTTTTTTAAATATATTATTTTAAAACAAGCAAATTGTGTGCTGTCCATTTATTGTTCAAACTTATCACCAACAAGTCACAGGCACCTACTGTAAAAAGAATCCAGCCTATATATAAAAAACTTAACAGACAATTTACTTTTGACCTTAGAGGCAACATTTATACTTCACATACAAGATTTATTTCAATATGAGCTAAAACCAACCTCCATACTAACATTTGAATAATAACGCATTCATCTTAACACCTACGTATACACAACACTGTTAGAAAAACAGTTCAAAAATTACCCAGATAACTATCCCAAGATACACACCAATACAATATACTAAACAGCTTGATAGTAATACAGTTATTCCTTGTTATTCATGGTTTTAGATATTTGCAATAGAGCCACAGTCCACCTCCAAGGTTTGCATTGTGCTGCATTGCACATTCCACATATACCCAGTCTTTGTTCAACCAGTGTTTCTATGCAGACCCTCACATGTGATCTTTCAAGTCCTCTGCCTGCTTCTTCTGTCACCACTACCTCTGTTACTAATGGGATGAACAGTTTAGCATTTGCAGCAATTTCTAGAACCTATCCCCCGCAAATGGCAAGAGATAACTATACACACTTATTCTTTTAATGCAGTAAAAAAAAAATTCCACCTTCCTGAACATGTTTTTAAGTTATGTAGCTGAGAATTATTGGGGTATTCAATCTGGCCTTCTTATATCATCCATTGAGGGCCCCTATTTGATAAAAGTATGTGTGTGTGTGTGTGTGTCTGCTTATAACTGGCAAACTGTTGGACCAAATGTCTCCAAACCAGGCATGTACCCTCAGAAACCACTGAGGAGTGATACAGAGGAGGCCATCATTCAGATCAGATCTTTCCCCACGTCAGTCCCCCAGGGGCCCTTATGTCTTCCTCATGTGCTTAGTAAGTATGTCAGCTAGTATGTACATAAGTTGGTCATAAAACATGGTAATCTACATTAATCACTACAGAAAATCCAAATTATGTTTCAAAGAATACTATTGGCTATAATATAGTGCTTCAGACATTCAACAAGTCACAATTGTGCACATAAAAGTTCGCCACAGAACAAGTTGACACACATTAATTGCCTCTAAAATCTTTACACATTAAAATTTAATAGCTTGTACAGAAAACTTTCAAGAAATGATCTTTATGCTCAATAAACTCATAAGAAAGACGTTCTTACCATATCTAAAAAGGCAGCTAATTTGGAAATGGGCATTGTGGTATACAGCTTCAAATAACTAAAAACAGAGAATCACAATATGTTGATAGATATCTCATGATAAATGTTTGTCAATCTGCCAATGACCCTTACTTTTACACAATTTTAAGCTACAAAATACACAGGCACTGATGGTTTCAAGTAACAACATTTGGTTATTTGCACAAATGTTTTATTGAAACAAAATAAAATCTCTTTTTTTACTTGTAAAGAGCCCATCTTTAAGCCTATTCACTTACATTTTACTTTCTTTAGATTCAGACTTTCAACACTAATCCTTAATCAAATAAAAGTTGCCAAGATCATTTAGTTTTTATGAAAATTTACTACTTTATATTTTATCTTTACATCTTCTGCAATTATCTATCTTTACAGTCCTAGCAATCAGACATCGATTTATTTTTAATAGTGAAAAGAAAATAAGTCAAGATGGAGTTGGTTTTATCACATTGTAGTATTTGTTAGCATCAACCGAGATTCAAAGGAAGACACTCTGCTGAAAACCAATCCCAAGAAATACAACATCTCTATCTGCCAGTATTTAAACATATGAGAGATTACAAAGCAGATACATATTAAACAAATGGAGAGCATTTCTATACACTCACACACTTTTAATGTTATAAACAAAAATTCCACTTTCCTGAATATGTTTTTAAGTTGTGTAGATGAGAAATGAATTATATCAAAACTGATAAATTGAGTACACAATGGTAAAGCAAAAGTTACAAGAATATCACTAAAATAACATTTGTAACGTATACATTAAAACTCTACAATCATTGATTATCTATTTTCACGTGAACTATGAATTTTTAGATTCACATTCTGGGCACACTAACCACAAGCCACACCTAGTCCAAGAATGTTTCTAAACTAATTTCTGATTAAATGAGATCCATTAACATAAGCCAACAACAAAAAGTAATTTCTTTCTTTAGCTTATTTAGTTTATTACACTCTTTTCATGAAAGCTGCTCTCAAAAAATATCTACTTCCACCTCCTAACTATTTTTTCTCAGTTTGTTTCCGTTCAACAGAAATTTTATGAATCTGACTGACCAAGAGTAAAATTCCCAATTATTTTACTTGAAAAGTATTTGTGAATTTGTTTTGAAACTATAGTCAAAGTACAATTCATATGTAAAGCTCATACAATGATTATATAAGATTAATATTACTCTGTATTTACTGTAGTAAGACCAAGGATCTTGTGTCCCTGAAAGACGCATCTCAATATTTAATAAATAGTATACAACTGTTGCTATAAGACTACGAGTGACTAATAAGTCATCATTGCTTAAAACGAACATGCTGGGAGATAAAGGTGAGTATGTAGTTTTAATAGTTTCCTCTTAATCTACTTTAGAAATACCCACCTTCGTATGGTAGGTAACATGAGTTGTTGCTGCACCTCGTCCATGAACACCTTCAACTGAAGCACGAAAGGCTGCTGATGTAGAAAAACATGTTGAAAGTCATTATAACATCAGTGAAGTGATACACTTTACAAATAAAAGCATAAAGAAATATGTTATTGTCTAATCCAGTTTAGAGATGTCAAATGACTGAATTCAGAACCATTATAAAAATCTTACATTGTACACACATAGTGGAACATTTACCACGATTTATAAAACTAAATGTTAAATGAGATTTAAGTATTTAATATGTAAATTATAACACATTTCATACAAACTCTAACTGTATATACAAACTGAAAATACAAGGATGAGTAATGAAGACATTTTAACAACTAGATTTTTGAGCATTTTGATCAGTAAACAGTCTCAAAAATCACCCTATATTAGCCTTTAACCCTCTAAGAACAAATTGGTCGATTTGACCAGCCTTGGAACTGTGAAACTATACATCCTATAATTCTGAATTTATCAAATGTATCTTAAAACTTAGCAAGCTAGTAAATATTACAAGTCTGTTGTACTCAATATATTAGATATTTTAATAAAACATTCCTATAAAAGATTTGTCTGTCAGTTTCCAAAGACTTGTATTTTATTTCTTTACCCTAACACTAACTACAGAGAAATTATCAATGGACATTGAAAGAAAGAGTTGAAAATATGAAATAAAATGAATAGTTTTTTTCCTTCCTTTACATCGACTACATTTTTTTTTTTTATTCAGAAGGTTCCACGTTACTTAATAATTTTAACCTTCTGGTTTGGTTTTAGTACTATTTGTTTTGTGCCATTTGGACAAGTATAAAGTTCAAGAAATTATAGCTGTTCCCCTTAAAGCCAATATAACAACAAATGATTTAGTGTCATATTTTGCATCAGCACTTGAGCCAGTGTAATTTCAGACACCTTATTTTACTGAAGTTTTGTTAGGCTAAGCTTAGAATATTATAATTTTTACATTTTAGTTACTTTTATTTAAAAAGAATATAGCAATAAATAAATGTACATAAAAACAAGATATACTAGCTATTTACACTGTAAAAACACTTCAAATTCTCCACTAGGCCTAGTTGTCTCACAAATTTGGCTGTCCAAAAAAATTCTTGTTGCCTTCAACTAAGCATTTTCAAACACAAATAATACATCAGGCACTAGAATAGAATGTTCCAAAACTACTATACTTTTTATGTGGCTTTCAAAGTAAGCTAAGAATAGGTTTTAAAAAATTCCATAAGCCTTTCAGAGCATTAAAACCATGATCACGTGACATTTCTATCACGTAAATACTCTCTCTGCACAAAATTCAAAAGGACAGCTGTAAGCTTGATATAAAGGAGAACCTGCTCTTTCTATTGATTACAAACATGAAAAGTTGATTAGCAAATATACTCAAAAGCGAGAAAGTGGGGGGAGGTTTCTCTGATGGGTTTAACAAATTTATTGATATCTCAGCAAATAAAGAAGGAACAAGGTTCAAATTTTCAAGTTCTTAATTGTAATTATGTATATTTTTGTCCGTCATTTTATTAGCTCATCAAGAAATTAATGTCGCTTTTTTTAGATGAAAAAACCCGAACAACTTGTATATCAAAACAAAGCATTTATTAAATGAAATAGTCTCCATTTTTATAATGATGCTTTTCCATCTTACAATCAGGTGGTTAATGCCCTGATTAAAGAAATCACTTGGCTTTGAAGCAAAAAAATATGTCAACGTCCTCTTTAACACCTTCCACATTTGCTTAAGTTTTTCCATAAAGATGGTGTTGCAGCAAACGAAAAAGATGGTAATCTGATGATGCCATATCTGGAAAATATGGTG